GGGAACGAACCAACCAAGAACCTATCACGCAACAAATATGCAGGAAGAAGTGGAGATGGATTGGCCATGCACTGAGAAGGCCGACTGAGGACATCACGCGTCAGGCCCTCGAGTGGAATCCCCATGGGAAGCGACGAGTTGGACGTCCGAGGGTGACATGGAGGAGGTCATGCGAGGAGGAAATGAGAGCTTGTGGGCTGTCGTGGAACCAGGTTCAAAAGATCTCAGAGAACAGAGGTCACTGGAGGCGTGCTACTGAAGCCCTATGTTCCACTAGGAACCCAAGGGACTAATAATAATAATAATAATAATAAAATTATTCAGAAAGACTTTAGAAATTATAAAGAACATCATGTAGCAGAATTGCTTCACATAAAGTGGAATCAAAATTACCTAAATAGAATTGAGGGAGTAAACTGTAGTCTGAGCTGGTCTCAACCCACCCCTATATATTCACATAACCATCATGCATATACAATAAGAACCATCGATAAATGTGTATATACAAATCTCAATCTGTAATTCATACCACTATTCATATACAATACACTACACATAGATATCATCTTTGTTCAACAGTTTGATAACACAGAATCATTCATACAGAAGAATATACATCATATATCAGTTTGGATATTATAAATGCCAGTTTGCTATAACTTTGATTAGACTATAAGCATTGAATAGTGAGAAGTCAGTTGAAACAATTTTGTTTAACATTCACTGGAAAGTATCCATTGCTCACATGTTTTTTCAAACCATCAAATTCAAACTTGGTTTGAATAGCCATAGATGGATACAATCATCTATCTATTGAATAATTTAAATGATTAACACAGAATTCTGAGTTGGAGTGTTCAGAAGAAGTTATCTTAAGTGATGAATTCAGTATGTCACTAAAAGAAACATATATAAAGACCAAATAAAGGCTCAAGTCTTAATAGTATATAGAAAGAAGATATCAGGAAAAATATGTGTATAGAATAAGAAGAAAGTAATATACGTCATAAACTTGTAGAAAAAGGCTAAGGATATGCATGATTACTGGAGATCTTAAATCTTGTGATCAGTAGACTGGGGATATTAACATATCATATCTTTGAGTAATTTTTGCAACAGTATCGTCAACAATAAACATTCTACTTTTAAATTTATAATATCAACTAGGAATTTCATATTTTTTGTATTATTTGTTATTTGTCCCTTGGGTTCTTAATGGAACATAGGGCTTCAGTAGCACGTCTCCAGTGCACTCTCTTCTCTGCAAACTTTTGAACCTGGCTCCACGACAGCCCAGAAGCTCTGATTTCTTCCTCATACGATCTCCTCCATGTCATCCTCGCCCATGACGCCCAACTCGTCGCTTTCCATCTGGGTTCCACTTGAGGGCCTGGCCTGACGCGTCATGTCCCTAGTCGCCCTTCTCAGTGTATGTCAAATCCATCTCAACTTCCTTCTGCACATTCGTGAGGTGATGGGTTCCTGGTTGGCTCATTGCCCGGCCAGATATCCTTGTTGCTTATTATTATCATTCTGGCCATCTGATCTTCAGTAACGAGCCAGCATAGACGGCAGTTGTTGATAAATGTCTGTAGGTTGTTGGAAATGCCTTTCGTAACGCGCCAAGTCTCTGAGCCATACCGGAGCACTGACTTGACTGGAGTTGGTGTTGAAAATCTGGATCTTGTTCCACATGCTGAGTGCAGAAGATCTCCATACTGGTTTCAGGCTAATGAACTCTTGTCTTGCTTTTCCGATCCTGGGAGACCAGGGAGCACTGGGTAGGTGTCTCGGTCGAGTATGAGACTTCTCAGCAGTGTACACCCGTGACCCAGCCAGAAGTCAAATTCTGAGTCTCTAGGTTCAGCAGCCAGTATGTAACCACTGAGCCATTAGGTTGGATTTTAACGGTGAAAATTTCCAACATCTGTAAGTTCACGATATAGAACGACCTCCACCTAACGGTGTCGTTGAATGACTAGCCTCAGGACCAAGTTGGTTTACCGAACAGTTCATAAACAATCAAGTACTTTATTCATACAGAAAATAATATATGATGAGTGTTCATTATGTCCTCTGTACTCCTGTTTATATATTAGTTTGACAATCAACTTATTGCACCCCTCACATTTTGTGCAGTCTGCGTAGATACTATACATAGTCATGTGACCTGTCACCATTCAGCTGAAGTCTCCCAACCTTTATCAACATTTCTAATAGACCAATGACAGACATTAGTGAAATGCATACATGAACTTTATGAGTGAACTTATATGACTGGTAAACCTAACCATCCTTATCAATACTAATTAACGTACCACTGCAGACAGAAACTGTGCTGAGATCGATTGGTACACACTTATTCAGATGCAAATCGGTTAGCAGTAAATTGCTGCTGTAACTGTCTGTTTGTAAGTGCTCAGTACTGACCAAAGTCTATCGATCGGGTTCAAAGTGTGACCACTATACAGAGTGATACAACAGTGCGGTGCACTAGTTCTGACTTCAGCATTGAATAGTACAGGTTCGAACCACCGAGGGAACACCAGTTTCCCCATCGTTACAGATACACCTTACTGATGAGTTCCAATGGACACATCATCTAGGTCAGACAGGGGATTTCATGTCGATGAATCCTCAACATCTAGCATTCATTCATACCCTCTACTAGTAAGTTGGGCAATGATTTGGTCTCAAATTTGAACGAGCTGATTAGATGATCAAGGTAGCCTACCTGTGCTACACTACTTTGAAACAAGCATAAATAGCAATTATTATGAGTAAGATAGTTGGATAAAAACAAGGTAATCAGAATTATACATCCATGGCGCTGAGGACTTCAGGAAAGTGAAGTAGCATTTGAAAGGGATCCGTAAAGGAATGATTTTAAACCGTACAGACAAATTTTCTGAGTCAAGCATCTAGATTATCTTGAAGATTGTGTAATATCAAGCTAAGAAACAGTGCTCTCCTGGTGAATTCTTCAGTGAATCTGGGATCAATAAAGATTAGTCCAGTCACCTGCGATATTATAAACAACTCATCAACTCTATAGAGAAGAAATTTGCAGATAGGAAATGAATAATTTTAGTAATGGTGGATAGTGGCTAGCAGTGGAATCTAGGATGCACATTTCGTCCTATTTGGGACTCATCAGCTGGATGTACCTGATGTTATTCCCACCGGGATACGGAGTTCAGACCGGTCACTTCAAATGCTAGAACGTTATGCACTACACCACCGAGCCACAGTATCCACTTCTTGTGCAATAATACTAATGAACTTATTTGTTAGTGTAATATGTACGTTTGTTATCTTCCTCATAAAATATAATCCGTATTTCCTTTTTGAATTTGAAATATGTTACTTGATTATGACTGATAGTACTTGTCAATGCTGAAGATATTCTCCTCTCCTGCAGCTATGGTATATCTACACCAGGCAGTCAACCAACAACCGTTAGTTTGGTATCAGGTAAATAAGTACACTTTTTCAAATAAAAACCTGGCCAAAGATTATGTATCGAAGCTTCAAAGCAACCGGAACATATTGCACTCTTGACGGAGGTTAATTGTTCAAATCAAATCAGTGACCTTCAAGTTTCTGGTCAGGCCATCTACTAGCTGAGTTACGAGGCCCAACTACTTATCAGATTTGATTACTATTAGTGGAGCATTGACTCTGACCACATTTATTTTCGCTTCTTAGCAATCGATTTCGTCTACTAGGGTTGCTCATTTTCATGTAACAAATTATCTGCAAGAACCATCATCTACTAAATTGTCCTTAATTTTACTTTCAGAGTCAAGCTATAATCTTCTTGTATCACACAATATATTGTAGTTGTCAAGACTTTGAGATCCAATTAAAAATCTGGTACACTCTACATTTAGCTACTTTGTAATACAACTCTACTGTTTTTTAGTGAGATCAAGAGTTATTTTCCTTAACTCTTAGTGTTAGTAGTTCAACAACACGTCATAGATAAGTGTTTGAAATATCCGCCATTTTTTGAAATAATAATTTAAAAGAAGAGTTCAGTATTCAGTTAACGGTTTTCATTGCTTTGAAGTTTCAACATGAAATTTCCATTTATAAACTATTATATATCCCATAAATATGTACTAAACAAATTTATCAAAGCAATGCTCTATTTTCACTCAAGTATATATAAATAAATTTTGTTTGAACACAAAAACTTACATAGTAGATTGGTTTCAAAATATTTCCGTCATTTAGGTTACTTCGTGTTTTTTTGCTCTTTTAATTGTTTATGATTTTGTTTAAATATAATTAAAATATTTTCCTTCTTATATATATTGACTTTAGCACAAAGAGATAGTATTTTTATTATTATTTATGATCATGAATCAGTCAGTATTGTTTTACCATTGATCTATTGAATGATGAAATCAATATGGCTGGTTATGATCACACCTTAATATTTCATAGTAGTGTGCATAACATGTGCACTTATACACATGAGTCTGTGCAATAATAATAAGTCACTTAATAATACGCTGAACATACCTGTCTATCTACAATCATAGAAACTACGCAAAGTAGGTGAGGCTAGTGGATAATTCAATAAGTATGCTTTGAGTATTTTCATTTATCAACCATATCCTACTTCCTAATACTTATTGACTCGTTATCTTATCGTACTTAATTATGTGTGTGCATGATACGTAGGTGTATACGAATGACCTTGAGAAATGCATACAATTCAAGTTTGTATATATTTTCACATCGTACTCATCTAAATCTGAGGATGAATTTGATTGGTTGTTTTTTCGAATTCACACTGAACCAATATCTACAAATTCCAACTTATTGGAATGCTAATGACGGTAAAGCCAATTTCACTAGCACTCAGTCAAAAAAAAGCTGTAAACTGAAGTATCATAGTGATATGAAAGGATTTCTTTGTGCCTCAAACAGACACACACAAAAAGAATGAATTTGTCTTTCGCTATTATTTCTTACCTTTTTAGACTTACATGTTTATCAGTTTTAAAGAAGCACTTTGTTTACTTCTGAATGAATAATAATTTCATCGAATGTTGAATTTTTAAAAATGTCAGCTTTACAAATGAACCAAGTTTAAAAGATCTAAACCTCCTGGTGGGAATGAACAACCAGTCACATTTCCAGGCTTCAACTATACATTCCAAACACGAAATGGATATTATGTTGTAGCCTCACCTAATGGATAATGCTTAGGTGTTTGATGCTTTCGGTCCTTGGTTCGAGCCTTAGTGCGAGCAATATCACTCACCGAGAGTGATGTATATCCGTTTGACGAGTCCCAAATAGAATGAAACGTGAGTCCTGGATTTCACTGCTAGTCACTATCCATCATTAGTATGGAGTGAATATGTATTTTGAGCTAGATGGCGTATTAGTGAACCTCCCACTTTCTTTCTAGATAACATTATCAGCAGAAACTTCAGAAAACGTGATATATGAGAATTATTTCACAATTTGCTTAGTGACGTATCCTGATAACCTTGAGTGTGATTGGTTCTTTCTGCCATAGTCTTTGCATTGTCTGCGCACATATCCACATTAACTGTTCTGGTGACCTTAACTCTGACCTTCTCATTGTTTCCCGTATTTCTTATTGGTTTGTAGATTGAGTTCATCGTCAAATATGTGTGAACGGCTGAGTCATATGAGTCTCAAGCTTCCTAGAATTACTTGGCCTTGTTTTTGTTTCTTCAGTCTAAGATTTCCGCATTCTGCTTCAGTGTCGCAGCCTTGCAAACTTCAAGTGAAGCAAAAGTAGCTAAGAATACAGTGACTTTTCTCCTCCCTATCAAGTGATGTACACACAACTATAATGTTCAAGTATGATAGAATTATTTATTACGCTCACTTTCGCTACAATGGCAAACCGTATTTGCAGATAAAAGTAACACCGGTGCAATCGTCTTCGTCCAGATGCAGTGCGAACGGCAGCAATCCAAAGATTGAAAACTGCCATCTTACCGCTGATCAAAGGAAAACTTTGGTTCCGATATCCAGATGATACTTTTGTCATCAATAAAAGTAACTAACTGAAAAACGCTTACGAATTAAATAGTGAAGTTTGCGATATCAAATTCATAAGTCTAATGGAACTCGTCGACCTTTCCCTGACAACATACTTCCAATTCAATGCCAAGGAATACAAACAGATGAAAGGAACTCTAATGAGATCACCAATATCCGGACTAGTTTCAGAAGCAGTGATGCAGAGACTTCATCAACCATTATCTTACCTTTGACTAAACCAAAAATTTGGATTCGCTATGTGGATGAAACTTTTGTCGTCAATAAAAAAGATGATATCGAAAACACCCACAATTTGATCAACAACGTTTTCAATGACATCAAATCCACAATGGAGAGGGAGTCAAACGACCAACTACCATTCCTGGATGTTTCAGTCAGTAGAACAAATGCCGGAAAGCTGGAAACCCAACAACAACAAGCTAACAACGCACAAAATTAGTCGCGTGCAAACACTTTTCAAAAGAGTGAGAACACACTGCAGTACAACAACCCCATGGAGAAACGAAGAAAATTACTTAATGTCTATCCTAAAGAAGAAGGGCTACCCGCGAAACTTTATCAGCAGATCCCTATCCCGTACAACATCAACTACAAAGGCAACTACAGAAATCAACAAACACATCATCCTACCATACATAAAGAATACATATCAGAAATCACGAGAAGATCACTGAGACCTCTTGGAATTGGTGTGGTTAATAAACCAACAAATGCCCTGCAAACACTATTATGTAGACCAAAGGATGCAACAACCAAAGAAGATAGACTGAATATCGTTTACAAAATCAATTGTAGTCAACAGTACATTGGACAAAGTGGTTGCCCTCTTCGCCTTCGTCTGCATGAACACCAATTGGCTGTTAAACATCACGATATTTCATCACTGATTTCAATGCATGCGGATAATTATGGACGTGAATTCAATTCTGGCAATGTAGAGAAAGATCTTGGACAGAGGAAACACAAAAAATATCAGAGAATTTCTAGAAGGCTGTGATACAGGCCAGTCAGCAATAAATAGATGTGTAAACATAGAGCCAATCTATCAACCAATGAAAAAATGATAAACAACAGAAAGGTCAGAGGTAAAGCAGAGGAAGAGCCAACAGGAAAATCTATACAGTCAGTGACATAACAATCAAAGGAAACTACCTGTCACAAACCAGTTCATCAGGGAAAGCTACTAAATCCTTCATGGGGAAATATTGACGGTTCACTCCATACTGAAGTTAGTGGATGTCGTCTGGAAAGACGATGAAACCTCCACGACTAAACAGCCCAGCTCAGGGATCTCAATAGATCTAAGGTCGTTAACTTGAGCTAGAAATATTCTCCACGATTTCAATTTGCATAAGCTTTGCAAAAGAAAGTATGGCAACAAGATTTCATGCTTTTTGTCTGCCTACGTGAGCGTCAAATAACTGTGAAGCGTCACGAAATATCTTTGCTTGTATCAATTCATGCGGTCAACTGTGGGTAAGAATTCAGCTGTGAATAATCCGACGCTTGGATTTAAGAAAAACAAAGGAGGCCGAATAAAAACCAGTTGGAACATGTGTACAGACAGTGGAAATATTATAGGAGAAAGAACCCATCATACTTAAGGTCATTCAGATCGGCTACTAAACCGATTGTGGAGAAATTCTCACAGTTCACGTTTTCGAAAGGTTTTGCTTATATTTTTGTCATGTGAGAAATTCACAATTAGTTCATTCAGCTCAGTGAACACAACACTACAAAAATCCTGTTATCGACCTAAAAAACATTCTTGACCACTGTTTCGGTAAAGACTTGCAGTGCAGTCTGCTTGGTGCATTTCTTCACCATATTAGGCTAATCATGTGAATCCCAGTGAGTGCTGGTGTTTTGACTGGGTTAAAAATGGCGCATAATTTTGATTGGCCATTCACTGGTGACAGAGTGGATTATTCTTTAACACGTTGATAAAACGATTTCCTAGTACATCTCATTCGAATGCGTGCATAAAAACTTCATATCACGAATCTTTCTGCATTGCATTCGACCTCTATTGTTAATATACAGCTGTGTATTGCAACTGTTAACCACAACTTTTCACATTACACGTTGATAACATTTCCCGCTACATTACTTGACTATGGTTTGGGCTTCTGTGAAGAAATCGCCTTCAGCTTAAATTAAGTAGTTAATGTAGTTATTATTATCAGCACTCCTTAAGGAGCGATCGAATTGCGCAAGACGTGACATCCCTCTTCTTATCCATGACACAAAAACTCACAATAATCCAGTGGATATGCGTGAAATATTCAGCGACTTATTTGCAATTAGTTATCCAAAACATATTCATATTAAGTGGTATCCGCACAAAAGGCGAACAAAAATAGAGGGCGTCCAAAGGCATTTTACAGCTAGATTACTGGGACAAGATTACAAACACGACTGTAGCTCTATATGCAGAACCCTAAGTCTAGAACCACTTTGAATGAGATGACTCAAAATTAATCTGACACCCTTCTTCAACGTGTCATATAAATTCACTCCTACAGTCAGTGGTGAGTTTCAAACACAACAGTTGGTACGACCTACGCAACCACGCCCCTAGCGTCACAATGAAGCCGTTCAAATCTTGCTTGCGTGCAAACATCTTCACCGACAAAATTCTCTCAGTTATAGAAAAGACTTTCTGCTAAAGTAAAGGCCAGCAAATCAACCTCTGAATTTGGTCGGTCGCTAGTTAACTTCTTATCATCTGGCAACTTTTCCGGGTTACAAAATGCACCAACAGTAGCCCTCATGATATTTCGTATACTGAGCCCTCTCAATGTATAATGAGACATCCACCACACCTACACTGGCCTTTCATACTAAGCGTCAGGGAAACTTCAAAAAGTTATGACCCAAACCCAACGGCACATTCTGCCCTACTTGACATAGTGATCAAAAACAGAAGTTCTACACTACACGACAGCATGCAATTTATGTTCTTAAGTACTCAATGGAAAAACTACATGCAATGAACGCCATAACAAGGAAAGTTAAGTAGGGGGAAACATGAATATAGATAACACTCTCCTTGTTGGAACTTTTGCTTCTCTCCCTGCCTGCTACTTTGTCTGTTTATTTCCCGTTGTGGAAAAGCTATTCGGTTCTAAATGTTGGCTTGGTCATCGTCCAAAATTGCTTCCGGTGTCGCTTGATCGGGTATGGTCTGACGTCACTGCGTTACAAAATGTCTCTACACCCTGCTCGCTTGTAGTTGTGGAGTTACTAGGATATTCTAGTAATAAATCGCACAGTGATTTGAACTAGTGTCGCCTTTGATAGGGAAGAACGGCACAATGTTTTTAGCTTGAGGTGTTCAGTATGCACATCATATCCAGATACACGGAGTTTGACCTCGTACAAGCGTAGTATTTAGCATCTGTCTCTGTTTCACAGAGGGTAGGTAGTTTTACTGCTGTAGATGGTAGGTGTGTAGGGCTGGTGGTACCGCCTGAAGGGTTAAGTAGACGTGTTGTGATTTCGCATCTGTTGAAGCCACTTGGGTGGTTGGCATCTAGGATTTGTGTGTATGGTTGACTGTCATTTCTGTTGCTCCAAGGGAGCTAAGATTAGCGGCCCAGAGTAAGGGGCTTCAACATCCCCATCAGTTATTTGGCGGAAGCTGCAGCCGATAGGGTTGTAATGGAAAAACAATCGTCATGTTTTTGCCGTTGATGTGAACCTCTGTTCCGCTTTATATTTCTTACCAGTGTCTGCCTTCTCTCGTAATTCGTATGGGACACAGTCTGCTTTGTGTGGTGTCGCGGTTTGTTTTCTTGTTAGCTAGTGCCTTTCGGGTGAGCAAATTTTTCCCCTACTTTATACGCGCTGGTTTTCTTTTGTATTTGGTTGACAATGGGATTGGGTTTTTTGCCATCTTTTTTTGTCCTCATTACCGGTTTTACATAACACGGTGCACAGGATCGTCTCAGTGAAGCTACTCTTCGTGCTTGTGCGAATTCCATGTGGGACTACAGTATCATTGCGAATCATTGTATGATTTCTGCATCCGCCTCTACGTATTGGTTCATCGTTTGCATATCGAGTGGCCGATATCCTAGGACTTAGGCTGGTGTGGGTTATAGACCTTAGGCCTCCGGTAGACCTCAGTCAGTGTTCTAGTGATGTTTAGCGCAGGGCCAGGTTTTATGTTGGGGCTTTCTGTGGATACGTCTAGATCTACAGTTTTGGGCGGCAAAGTCAAATCACGCATTTCTCAGTCTTCCATCTCCACGTTGGTCGACGCCGTTTTCCGTATATTTGACTCGGCTGGGTTTGAGGAAGAAGTCTTAGGCTTGGGCATGTTGGAGGAGATACCCTGCTGCCTTAGTGTGTTGTAGCTTTGGAGTCTTTTGACTGTCTGGCCTTTGCTACTAAGTTGTACACCTGCCTTTCCACCACTGTCTTATCAAGAACTATCTCTATTCCTGTAAAGAAACGTTGTTTTCTATCCTGTGACTTAAACTGAAGGCGTGTAGGACAGCAGTGGTCCTGCTGGCTTCCTTTTTAGTTGAGACATTTTTGCACGGATACCATGCATTTTTGCTGTTCTAAGCAAAGTTTCTCTTACCGCCTTCAGATTTATCTTGTCAGGGACGCTATAGATTATTGCGTTCAGTTTAGGCGCAAGTCTTTTACTTGCTCCAGTGGTGGTCTACCTTGGTTAGTGCTTCGATGTCAATCTCATTAATGGGTTCATTACCCGTCAAGATGCTAAGCGGCAACAGATTGCTAATCTGAGCTCTTATTTCCTCCAGCTGGGTGACACTTAAGATGCCCTTATCACATTTTCTTGTGGTTTATTAATCCGTTTGTAATCCTTCAGTTCGCATAATTCTGCCCTTAGTTTGCTCTGTAGAGGACTTCAGGCTTCGGTTTTTGGAAGCAGTGACAATATCACACTTAATGGCTGAAATCCGGTTAGCCTTGCAAAAGACGTGGAGCTTCCACTAAGCTTCGCATGTGCTGCAACATTCGTTGTTGCGGTCTTGTCACATGTTGGACCTGCAGAGTTGTTTCTATTATTATTAATGTTCGCTGGCTTATCTAGCACAGTGCTTTTTCTTTTGAGCATAACTGGAGTATAGGTTGGCTCATTCATGCGGTTGCAAGATGAACCTGGTTTTGGTGTTACCAGCATCTGGATACTGTTGATGCACTGTTCCACCGACAATTGTGTCCGTGCTATTTTGCATTCATTAAACATATCTAGTCGCATACCTGACTCATGATTTGTCATTTGAAAACTAAAATAGCTTAGACAACGTTAATAGCAAAGTTACGATACAATTACGAAATCACGTTGAAATGTTACACAGTTTCAAGTGTACCGCTCTGCTCCATGTTATTTCATCGGACTTCGCTAAGGCCGTCGACACGGTCCCACACCCATTCACCGAAAAGCCAGACACTAGCTCCAATTACCCAGGAGATGCCCCCTAGCCTACTCACTACTGAACTTCATGCGCAGACAACTAACTTCTCTCACTTCCGAACTCTTTCGGAAGCTGCGCAAGACCTACATACGACCATAACGCCATCGGACCACGATAGCCGAATAAAGGTGTGAACCCCCTTGGGGAACCCTAGAGGCGAGCAACGAAGGGTGTTGCGGGAATGAGGCGAAAACCCCGTGAGGATTGACTGAAAGACCTGGGACTTTACTCTCTTAGCTGCCGTAGATTAAGTGGCCTACAAACTACTAGGTAGTCCAAGTCATCCTAACAGTGGAATCCTACCGAAAGACCACTGTGGTATTTCTCGTGTTAGCTCCAAGAGAATAGCCCATCTAAAGGCAAAACCCGTATGCCTTCAAACCTCTTCTTTCTGCGAGTTTGCTACCACTGGAACGGACTGCCTGCCGAGATTACTATTGCTCAGCCTGTTGACAGACTCAAGAAGGGGTTGGACAGTAACGCAGCGATGCATGGTTTGTGCTGATCCAGCAGGAATGTAGACTATGTTTATGCAACCCACTAACTCAGCACAGCCAACTCACTGCTGAATCTCCTGTAACATCACCATCATCATGAACGTGGCTCGATCTCATTCTTACCTGTAGACATCTCTGGTTACCATCTCCTACTAATGGTATTACTATCTCTATTCCCATGACCCTACCTATAATCTTACTTACTTCCTCTCTTTCCTATCACTCTATGTCCTCACACTACCCATTAAAGTTCCCTCCTATCACTTACCTCCCATGAATCTACATAAGTTTTTCCTTCATTTCACCTTTTCACTTTCTGTTTCTTCTTCTTCACACTTCCTCTCCCTTGATTTCCATGGAAACCTCTTCTCTCTCCTTTTCATAACCAGTGCAACCAACTTTCTGGTGGCATTACACTCGAGGAACTGGTCTGCACTCCTGCCCTTGCAAAACCACATAGTGCCTACAAATTTGATCGACACAGACGGCCAATCCTTGTCTGAAGGATGACGCAGACCTTCTAAAAAGAAATGAGATAGTGGCCACTCCTATGATCCCTGTGATGGCTGGCCTCACCTATGAAGACCGACTTAAGGAGCTGAACCTTTTCACACAGAGGGGAGACCTAATCGTGCTTACAGGATTCTAAGAAATGACTTCAGACCTGATCTATCTTCTCTTTCCCTTCCTACCAGGTCAAAACATCTCACAGGACATAGTAGGAAACTACAAAAGCAAAGACAGAACATAGTCTCCACAGAGTACTGGTTCTCGTGTCGAGTAATCAACGACTAGAACCGACTCCTAGAAGAAATGATGTCCGCATCATCAGTTGGCTCTTTCAGAAAGGGGTTGGACAAGCACGGAAATCCACTGGGAAAGGATTAACATAGGTTCCTATCCTCCTATTCTCAAGCAACAAATCTGAAATCACTCAACCGCCCATAGGTCTAACCAGAGCTACAACAGGTGAGTGGCAGATATACTACATCCAAATGTACCAAAGACTCGAAACCGTTCTGCGAAGACCTAGAAGCGAGCAAGGAGAAATCAACTGGTTAACGCTAGTTCGTGAAAATACATTGGATATTGGAAAGGACAGTCATAGCTTCTCACTACAGTAACGCGACCGTTACACATTTAAAATGTCACCGTTGAGGACATACAATTCAGGTGTCTTATTAGGTAACTGGTGGGAAGAAAGAATTCTCGAAAAGGTAGATGGCATTCTACTGATATAATAGTAACAAAGGAGGAAAGGTCTGCACATGTAAACAAAGAGGAGAGTCATGCGTCTTCTATACATATAATTAGTCTACTTTCTGAAAATATTCCTGAAATGGTAAGCTTAAGTCCTTAACAGTACTACAGAAGTAAAGGTTGATTGTTCCGCTATGGCGACTGATGGGTGCCTAAGGTTCGGTTCAAATGTCCAGTTACTTAACCCAGGATCATCACCGTATTATGTGAAATCCGGACTCTCAGCACTAAGAGCACCCCATGTTCTAGGTCTTTCCATAGGACATTTCATGCAACCTGAGTCTAGAGATTTCAAATTCTGGGGATAATTTCTTCCAGGTGCTTGGACAGAAACGGTTTTTTGTATGTGACAGCTTCTAAGAATTTGAAACCATCAGCTAGAAATATATTTAAAGTTTGTTGGTGAGTCCTCAGTATTCAGCTTGACCCTCAAAACCCGTTTTTTATATCTTCACTACTCTAGTGTCATGATTAAGCACTTTGAATGATCTCTGATTGGTTTTACATAACCATCATTCAAATGTTTTGGATATAAATTACGTTACCTTGTAGTGGTTGTGACTTATTGTTCTCTGCAAATATTGAATGAATTTGAATATTTCGCTAACTGGGTGTTATAGCGAGACTTAAAATGGCGAAACTCCTATATATAATATATATATATATATGCTATGTGGAATGGCAGCTGTTATGCAGTAGACCATTCATATTCAGATCCGTACTTTGAGGATAGGAGGCTATGAACACATAGTAATGCTTTTCCAGCAGACCTCTGTGCTTGTCCAGCTAGTTAACTGTGTTGCCACCGTCTTCTGAAATTCTTTCAGGATTTGATTACTTGATGCGAAAATCAGAACTCTACGGAGACGATGTCCCACCTTTGTTTTTACACTTCCCTATAATAAGCTGTGAGGCTACCCGACCTAATGAGAAAAGAAAGAGAAGATAGACCAGGTCTAAAGTTATTTCTAAAGACTGCGTATAGCATGATTAGTTATCCCCTCAGACTGCGATACAATAAAGACCGGAGGTTTCAGCTCCTGAAGCTGTTCTTCCTAGATCTGAAAAGCCATCGCATGGATCATGCGAGTGAGTGTCTTATGAACTCTTTCCGGAAGATCTGAGTCACCTTTTGACCAGAGGTTTACCGCTTGTGCACAGTTTTATAAGTAGGGTTTAACTAATGATATGTGTAAAGTGGTCAAATTGTCATCACTTTTTTTAGTAAACTTTATGCATAGTGACTAAAGTATCCTAAATCTTTGGTCTCCGACTTATCGGCAGTGCGCTGTGGCTTTCAAATCGTGACTTACTGCAACCTCTGGGCCACGTTTGGTTAGAACTGTATGTTTATTTTTCCTACCTATATGCTTGTTGTTGCCGTCTGTATCTCTGTTGTGCATGCTCATACACTCACCTGCCTTGGTAGGCGTCAGCCATTTTCCTGACCAGGTTAACAAACTGTTTATATCCGTCTGAAGTGTACTTATATCTTTGTCATTCCTAATTCACCACCAGACCTACAACATCAGCATAGAGTACTTCGAGAAATTTTGTAATATTTGGTAGCTCATTTGTGTACAAGAGAAACAGCTTAGGACCCAAGACTGTGCCTAACCATACTCTACTTTGTGTCGACTTCTAAGAAAAGATTTGAGGACTGATTCTTACTGGTTGTCTCCGATCGAAAAGGAAATCTGTAACTTATACTTTCACAGAGGATCAGTTGAAATGTAGTAGTCAGTGGGATATCTACTTAATGTGTGACCTCTCTCAGCAGCCGTGGGCGTATCTCATCCACTCCTACTGATTTTTCTAGATTGAGAATTCTTAACGTCTTAAATAAATCATTGCAATCGATGTCCATAAAGTTTGTTCCGTTAGGTGGCAATTCTTCTGCTGTTGAAGTAGTGTCTCTTGCAGGTTTCTGGATAAAGACCTTAGCAAAATATCTAGTCATAGCCTTTGCTTTGTCTTTATCATATTCAATTGGCTGGTTAGTTTCTGTTCCTTTGGTTAGGGCGGGGGTAGCATGAAACACTTTATCTCAATGGTTCATATAGAAAAATAGCCTCTATTGGTGTCCTACAGCAGCCTGAGCAGAACGTGTATCAAAGATTTTTGGAACTGGTGGAAGGAAAGTATGCATTTGTTCCAAACAACTGTGTGCTGCTTCTTCACCTCCTTCTTAATAAGGTTAGTAACAACACTACAGAACGTTTTCTCCGGCAATAGTAAACTACGGACCTCGCGGTTCGTCCACGGAGGACAGTGTTTTCGCTCGTTTTGGATAGTTCATGGAATGAACGGTTGGGTCACTCTTTAGTACAGCCGTTTGAAGCAGTAACATGCAGCAGTAGTTGGGGTTCTTAAGTGGACTGTTCACTCCTCGAAGTGACTGCCAAATTAGTAAATGTGACTTTTATTTCCCATATATTGTGTCCAACTAAGGTATCAGCCCGACACAAGAGAGCTGCTATAAATCTGAAGATCAAAAAAGCACGATCGCCCATACTACAGGATGTAGCGTCATATAAAGCTTACATCACTTGTGTAAGGAAACACTAAGTCTGCAAGTGACGGAGTATGCACAAGATCGTATCAATTTACTGCTCCAATCAGCAGAATGTGGGCCAAAAGAATTGATTTTTATATTGATCTATGATCAAATAAATTTGGTGGCATTTCAGTTGTTAGGCTGTCTTAGTCAGCTGAAAGTGCATTGAAGTCTCCTAAAAACGGGCGTTTGCATTCATATCTCCAGAGAGCCATCTCACTCAGAGGCAGGTCCCCCCTTCAAATTTGGGGTTACAATCTACTGCAACTAGGTTAGCATCTTGTCCGTTGGATTTCTGTTGGCGACAGAGTATCTCACACGGCCCATTTTCTTGCCCAAGGTTTTCTCTGGCTCTTAAAAAATGTTCTTTGCGTAAAGAAGGAGATCATCAGTTTTGTATGCCAGCCTATCACTTCGAAACACTGGTCCTTGCAAATGTGTTTCAATATCACTGACCTTAGGACACAACCATATGTCTCTTAAATAAGATTCCGTATTCATCGCGGAGGACCTGGCATCATTTGTTTGAAGAGCCTCAGGATATAAAAATCCACCACATCTAGATGGTTCTCTACGGCAGCTAGTCAGGATTTCAGTCCTTTCTCTGCTTCTCACTTTACCATTTGATCAGCAAGAGAAAAATTCTAACGCACGAAGACTCCAATTCCTTGCGGTTTCGAGTCTTTCTGCCTAATAACATTCTCTTACTCTGTTGACTGAGACATAACTTTCAGTGACCAGAGCCTATTTTCGGCAGACTGCCCCATTTTCGTTTTGCTCTTTATGTCTTAGTTGGGGTGACCCATGATACATCTTCCGGAAACAGCTTATTTACCAAAGTTCGTACTCTCCAAGGGTCATGGCAGAAGGAGTGACTCGGTTCTGGGCTTATGTATTTTTCCACTCTATGGAAGGTTGCTGACTTTTCACAGAGTTCCATTTTGCGTTTGCTCTGTGAAACCTTTGAAGTTGGTCCTAGGACTGCAACTGGCTTTTTAGCACGTCACTTAGATCTGAATACTTGACATCTTTCACAGTTAGACGGGAAAGACCGATTTAAGTTTACTTTTTTTGTGCACTTGTGGTCACTAATGTGGCCGCTAAACTGGGTGGGACCAGCGGTTCGCATACTTCTTAACTGCACTGAAAGTGCTCCATCTTCGTACCTTTCATCTGAACCTGACCTAATCCTACGTTCTTTAGTTTTAGTACTAGGTCTTCTATGTCTGGAGATATGAGAACATGAATATATTCACTTCACCTTGCTTGTGTAACCTTTTCTAAGTCACCTTCAACATACTATGTAAGAAGTTTCAACCGATTTTCATCCTGCTGATGGATATTTGTAGGATTCAGCACAATAACCTGTGTCAAAAGATTCAGTGTCATCATCACTATCAAAATCAATAGATTTTATTTTTAGCCCCAACTCACGAATGTCTGAACTGCACTACATGCAAGGTCAGACACTTCCAACACTTCTATACTTTTTCTTTGCTGTAGACGTAGGGTTTTTACAGTTATTTAAGTACCAACTTTCATCCTCGTGACTGTGCATACTACATCATTGGAAGCAGTAAAATATCTAGTTGGCTTTCTGATTTTCGAAAGTAATTTCACAATCTTGTTACATATTTACTGCATGACTTTTTGAATGTAAACAGAAACGCTGAGTTTTTATGGGAGACAACAAAGTCGCGACTACTACTTTTCAATAGATTTACACTTAAACGTATGTAGCACTATTTGAATACAGGATTTCCTTAGTATCTTCAAAGTCTTTTTTGTCCTAAATACGCAAGCAGACAAATACGAGGAGAACATAATACACAAGTAGATAATTTCAATTTGCTACACTCTAAGCGGCGTGCAAACAACACGTGCATAGGAAAAGAATGATATTTCAGTCGATGAAAGCATCTAAGAGCAGTGAGAATGAGAAGCTGAAAGCGTATGAAAATGTTTTATACAACAAACATGAGAAAGAATACATATATGCATGTCACTGCTACCGACGTTTAGCTGTATCATAAAGAGTATCTAACCCTTGATTCCTATGTTGTCAGTGATCCCAACTAGATGGCTGGTATCTCTTACTAGGCTCAGACCATCATTTGGAGGGTTAGTTCGACGTCTTGGTGGTCTGGCTACTCTAAACCTGCTTCGGACTTAATACTACTTCGTCTAATAGTATATCAACTACTGCATACCTGCATTTTTCAGTATGAAAACAAAATAACACGAACCAATGAGTTGAAGTTAGTATTACTATGGGCACTAAATTCAAGGTAAACGGTGAGAAAAACGATTTTTTAATGTTAAAGTAGTGAAATAAAACTTTGCATGGCCCTTATTGTTTATATATATATATATATATATATATATATATATATATATATATATATATAAAGCGTCATAACTATGAAAGGTCTTTCATGAGATAATTTTCTTACTTCAAGATGAAAGAGTACAACAAACGAAAGAGCTATTTAGGTTTCCAGGTTTTCAAATATTCTACAAATGATTTCAGTCCGTGTTGAATACCAACTTAAATAAATATCCACAAACTGACAAAATGAGTCGTCAAATGGGTCAAGAAATTAATAGTAGTAGAAGAAGATATTACACTTTTGCTACAGTCATATTGAATGCCTTTCGGAATTTCAGTATTTGTAATACAAAAATTAAATACACGCAAAAAGTTCAGTTTTAAAATCAGTTAAATCAAACAGTTTAAAAACCAGGTGTATACTGACCTAGCAGATTACAATGGAATATCATCCCTAATTCCTTATCAATTTCATCTTTGATAAATACTTGTTTATAAATATGATTTCAGTCACTTAGTAAGTTAATCGAATGTATTACTAGCATTCGTTTGTGATGTTAACTATTATCATTATTATTATTTGCCCCTTGGACTCCTAGTGGAATATACGGCTTCAGTAGCATGTCACCACTGCACCCAGTTCTCTGCAGTCTTTTCAAACTCGCTCCGTGACTCCCCAGAAGTTTTCATTTCCTCCTCACACGAACTCCTCTATGTCATCCTCGGCTTAGACGTCATCGTCTCTTCTTCGGGTTCCACTCGACTGCCTGGCCTGGTGCGTGGTATCAACGAATGATCCAACCAGTTTATGCCAAGTCCGTATCCACTTTCTTTGTCACATTTCTTAAGCGATGATTTCTTGGCTGGTTTGTTGTCAGTCAGCCAGCCAGAGTTCCTTCTTGCTCATTCCTATCATTCTGCCCATCCGATTTCAGTATCGAGTGAGCGTAGACAGAAGCTGTTAACGATGTATGTCTGTAGTTTGTTGGAAATACTTCTCGTGATGCGTCAAGTCTCTCAAACATCACATCCATGCAATGACTCACTTGACTGACTTAGTGTTTAAAATCGGGATGCTGTTCACGCTATATGCTGAGTGGAGTGCAGTAGATCTGCACACTGATGTCAAGTTAATGAATGAAGGAAGGCCTGTCTCGCTGTCTTCCCGATCTTGGCTTCAACGTCCTCATCTGTGCCGCCACCACCGCCTGTAGTTGAAACGATGTTTCCTAGGTCGAGTATCTCCATCACCCATATATTTTCTACGTTCACCTGAAAGAAGTCTCGTCTTCCTTCACTACCTCACCGCTTCTGTCAACTTGTTGGTTTTCGTTTGTAAATCTTCGAGTTTGTGCGACAAGATAGATATTAGACATAAGTCATCATCGTTGGTGAAATTCAAATCGTGTAGTGTCTTTCCATCGGTCCACTCAGCGTATTCCCACCTTCTCACAGCTCCTCATGGTTTGCTGCATGATCCAGTCGACCACAATCAGGAAGATGATCGGTGATAGTAGGTGGCAGCCTTGTCTTACTCCTATCTCCTGTCTTCACTTCAGAGGCGTCACTCAGCTTCCATTGTGAATCAAGTGGGATGTGGAGTCGTTCTATAGTTGTTGAATGAGGTTGATGAAGGTTTGTGGCAGTAAAGGGGGAGTGTTGAAGCAGCTGCCTGTCAAATTACTTGTCGGTCTATGCTATCGAAGGCGTTTTCAAAATCGATGAAGTTGAGGTGAAGATTCAGTTGACTATCATTCTATTTTCTGTTCTATGATGATGTGTAGCGTAGCACTGCAATTTGATCCGCCAGCCAGGCGTGTTGTTAATAGGGTGCCTGAAAGCCCCCACCAATAAGCGTAAGTTTGTATTTTCATGTCCTTCAAGAACTGCATTTATTTAAAAAGTTAACCGGAAGAAAATAAATGTGGATATCAGTCAGCGGAGCATGCGCATCTTCATATTGTGGACTGAATTAACTCATCTCAAATTTATAATTGGCCTGCCATAATTATTTCATAATTGACTTATTTTTATTTTGAGTCAATAAAGTGTGTTAAGTCTACTTTTTGATATTAAACAAAACGATATCATATTTGCTGTGGTTTATGTTATGAAACTGACCAAAGTAAATGAATTTCTAGCTTCTTTACTAAGTAAGAGAGAAATAGTTTGAATTCTTATGTACTATGCAACAAATATTGATGAAAGAGACTCTTAGCTGAGCTCAGCCTATCCAAAACAAATAATTTTGCCTATTGCAACGCTTTGCATCATCATCTAACAGAGTGTAGAATGGCAGTCAACCCTCTACCTCAACTTCATCTACTTTGAGGCCTTTGACAGCGTCGACCTAGAAGTAATTTGGAAACTGCTTCATTACTACGGAGTACCGCAAACCTTTATCAGCCTCATTCAACAACTATATGAAGACACAACATGCCAGCCAAGTAGTTCACAATGGGAAGCTCAGTGATGCTTTTGAAGTGAAGACAGGAGTGAAACAAGGTTGCCTACTATCCCCCATGATATTCCTGATTGTGGTCGACTGGATCATGCAGCAGACAACAGTGGGGAGCGAGAAGAGGGGGATACACTGGACTGCGGAAAAGAACCTAGAAGACTTGGATTTCGCCAACGATGACTTGTGTCTGATGTCACATAAACTTGAAGATCTGCAGGCGAAAACTAACAAGTTGATAGAAGAGGCAGCGAAGACGGGGCTTCAAGTGAATATAGAGAAGACAGAGGTGATGAAGATACCGCACCACCACCATCAACAACAACAACAAACTCCAAACAACATGAACGAGAGAAACTTAAAGCAAGTAGCCTCCATCACCTATCTAGGCAGCACTGTTTCAACTACAGGCTGTGGCGGCACAGACGAGGACGTCAAAGTCAGGATCTGAAAAGCAAGACAGGCGTTTATTAGCCTGAAACCAGTGTGGAGATCTTCTGCACCCCACTCAGCATGTGGAACAAGATTCGGATTTTCAACACCAACGCCAGTCAAGTCAGTGCTCAGTATGGCTCAGAGACTTGGCGCGTTACGAAAGGGATTTCCAGCAACCTACAGATATTCATCAACAGCTGCCGCCTACGCTCACTCGATGCTGAAGATCAGATGGCCAGAAACAATAAGCAACAAGGAACTCTGGCAACGAACCAACCAAGAACCCATCACCTCACAAATATGCAGAAGGAAGTGGAGGTAGATTAGACATACACTGAGAAGGCCGACTAGGGACATGACGCGTCAGGCCAGGCACTCGAGTGGAACCCAGATGGGAAGTGACGAGTTGGGCGTCCGAGGTGAGGGTGACATGGAGAAGATCGCGCGAGGAAGAAATGAGAGCTTATGGGCTGTTGTGGGATCAGGTTGAAAAGAATTCTGAGAAGAGAGTGCACTGGAGACGTGCTACTGAAGCCCTATGTTCCATTAGGAACCCAAGGGACAAATAATAATAAATAATAATTGTTCAAAAATATCTACCATGAGGTAATGTGATATATTAATGTGCTTCCAACGAAAGGTTGCCTAAAATAAAATAAGTCCACCTAATTCCAGCTTAGTGGCTGGATATTGTAGTGCCTACTGTTAAACCTCATGGCTCTGGACTATATCCTTCAAGAGTTGGTAGATGTTCACTGCTAACAGATGAAACAGGTTTATTTTGCTGTCATGTTTTTGATAGGTTACTAGATGAAATCAACTAGTAAATAAAACTTCTATTAATTTGTTCAATTGCTTACACGCCTTTCCAGTGGGTCTCATCATTATCTAAGACTACTGGGAAGTTGTATCCTTCCAATTTAATGCTGCTCAACAGTAAAAATCTATAACTCCTTAAGAGATCGAGCCTGGTAACATCGTATCATAGAGAGTACTTTGCCATTCAACCACTGAACCACAACCCCCTGGTATCCACCTTAGCACTTCTGTCAATTTGCGATAAACCACAATTATCATCCAATGCTGTGGGTGAGTGTTTGTCGTTACACCCAATTTGGCCGACCCCTCAGGTCATGATTTTACACTAGAACTTCCAGAGATTCATCTTCAGTCCAGTCGCTAATAAGAAATTGAGTGAGTCAACTGGTAACTTTAAGAGAAAAATTGAAGCAGAAAAATGTAGACCACTGAATTCCAACTCATTGGTTGGATAGCAGTGCATTGACTATGAGACCCGATAGTCTCAGGAAGCGAAAACTGGAAGCATAAAGAATTTCAAAGCTGTCATGAACAGCCAATCTAAACATTACTAAATGCCGTTGAAATTTCAAATCGCTAAACGTTCCTGCCAAATTTTGATATTTATAAAGTCCGCATAAACTTTCTCCTGGAAGAATTGAACATTGAATTGCAGAACTATGTACTTCATCATCATGAAATGAAAGTAAACATTATTTCTGAATTATTTCATGCGACATCTTTTACATAATTTTAGAAAATAGTCGAGAAACAAAACTCCTAATTTTAAAATTTTTACTTATTTTTATCATACTATTAATAATTTGTCGAAATAATTTATTATTTGTTTATTTGTATTTTTATAGTTTACGTGAAAATCAAAATGGTCGAATAATTCGTTATGGTGAGCCAATTATGTTTGCTTTGCAACCAGATATTATCTCATCTAAATGTGGTCCAATACTGGAGAAAAAGTTGATCAAAGATCAATTATTATACTTGGCTACTGATTTACAACACTTAGGTGATCAAAATTTACAACCAGGTGCTCAGAATTTATATCTTGAAGTTGGTACACCTTCATTTTTATCACAGTGGCGATTGGAATATGAAGATCCACATTTTAGGAAAGAATTTGAAGGTAGACCAGTTAAAGTAAGAATGATACTGATCTGTAGTTAAATCTTTCACCAAAACGTTTTGTTTAAAACTCTTTTCGATTTAAAAGAATAATCAGTAAGAATCAACAATTTTAGGCGGTGTAATTTACTAGATTATTTGTGATTATAATAACTGTATTCATTCATAATTTTCCTACTTGGTAAATAAAGTTAGCGCTTATAAAGACCAGATACAAAGCCCATCATTCAGACAATAGCCGGTTTAAGATGACAATAAAGTAATCCTTATACATGCTACAGAATACATCGAACTCTACATATCACAAAATTGCAATTAATTTATTTGTAGTCTTACAATCCTTAAGCAAGACATATGTGAAGTTTTGTGTAACAGATGCATCTGAATTGATTTTCACTTCATAAAATGTAAAAACAGACAAGAAGAAAAGCATGAAATCATTAAATGTTTCATTGTCATTCAATAATGTACTGGACTAGGCTGATAACCCCGGAGGCCAGTGGTTTGAACAGCGTCAACTTCGCCGCCAGTCATCATTATGTAACAATAATAACCATATACCTAGTCAATGTTGTATAAAACAGTCACATCAATAATATATCACTTGTTAAAACAGTTTGTCAGCAGATATAGAGAACGTAAATTAATTTGGGATTTTTAGGGTTCAACTACATGGAATTATTTCTGAGATGAACTATAAACGTTTATTCGCTTTTCAATAATGCATACCATGAACACAGCGATAAGATTCCCAGAATTTCTCTGTAATGCATAATACAAGCAGAATATATTTTTGCCAAACTAGAAATGGACAATTTTATGCATAATTTGGATATCATACACAGATAGAGATCAAATCCGCAAATACGCTAGCAGTAATCTAACAACTGAAAACATTACTTGTGTAGACTTTATTCAAAAGAGAAGAAGTACACTATAATACAACTAAATGAAGAAGAATTGAAGAAAATTACTCGATAATTAACCCAATGGAAGAACAATTTCTCGCATAATTTCATCACAAAACGTTTTTCCAGTTCAGTACCAACTACGAAGCCATCCGCGGAAATCAAAAACACATTGTCATATTATGCATAAAAGACATTAGAGATCACGACAAGACTACTAACAATGTTGTAATCGTCTTAGTGACTTCCACTGGAATCCATGACTTGGTTCTTGGTTGGTTTGTTGTCAGCCAGCCAGCCAGAGTTCCTTCTTGCTCATTCCTATCATTCTGGCCATCCGATTTCAGTATCGAGTGAGCGTAGACAGAAGCTGTTAACGACGTATGTCTGTAGTTTGTTGGAAATACTTCTCGTGACGCGTCAAGTCTCTCAAACATCACATACATGCACTGACTCACTTGACTGACTTAGTGTTTAAAATCGGGATGCTGTTCACGCTATATGCTGAGTGGAGTGCAGTAGATCTGCACACTGATGTCAGGTTAATGAATGAAGGAAGGCCTGTCTCGCTGTCTTCCCGATCTTGGCTTCAACGTCCTCATCTGTGCCGCCACCACCGCCTGTAGTTGAAACGATGTTTCCTAGGTCGAGTACCTCCATCACCCATATATTTTCTACGTTCACCTGAAAGAAGTCTCATCTTCCTTCACTACCTCACCTCTTCTGTCAACTTGTTGGTTTTCGTTTGTAAATCTTCGAGTTTGTGCGACAAGATAGATATTAGACATAAGTCATCATCGTTAGTGAAATTCAAATCGTGTAGTGTCTTTCCATCGGTCCACTCAGCGTATTCCCACCTTCTCACAGCTCCTCATGGTTTGCTGCATGATCCAGTCGACCACAATCAGGAAGATGATAGGTGATAGTAGGTGGCAGCCCTGTCTTACTCCTATCTCCTGTCTTCACTTCAGAGGCGTCACTCAGCTTCCATTGTGAATCAAGTGGGATGTGGAGTCGTTCTATAGTTGTTGAATGAGGTTGATAAAGGTTTGTGGCAGTAAAGGGGAAGTGTTGAAGCAGCTGCCTGTCAAATTACTTGTCGGTCGATGATATCGAAAGTGTTTTCAAAATCGATGAAGTTGAGGTAAAGATTCAGTTGACTATCATTCTATTTTCTGTTCTATGATGATGTGTATCATAGCGTTGCAATTTGATGTGCACGTAATTTGTACTTCCTGAAGCCAGCCAGCCTGTTCTGGTAGTAATTTTGAGTGCACAGCTCTTTTTAGTCTCTCCAGAAGTATGCTGCCCAATATTTTGTTTTGGTTGGACAGGAGTGAAGCATAATTCTACCCCAGTTCTCTCAATAACTTAGGTTACCCTTCTATGGGTGTTTGACAAGTTATATCTTCTTCCAGTCGGCATGTGCCTTTCCTTCCTTCCAAACCTTGTACAATATTGGTGTAAGCATGTCCGCTGTTGTCTCTGCATTTGTTTTCAGTGTTTCTGGTGGAATTCCATCTGGTTCTGCTGCTTTCCCGGATTTCAGCAGTTTTATGGCATTCAGGACTTCGGCTTTTGTCGGCGGGCGTAATTAACCTAGACTGGATAAAATGGTCGTTCTTTTCGCCTTCATTTACCTAAACATCAGTTGACTGTTCAGTGTCATGAGATTTTATCATTTATAGGAATGCATATGATCAACAACGGAAATGAAAATTTAGAGACCCCAGAGAGAGGAAACACAAAGAATATTCCCGGAAGCTAGTTATTAAGGTCAATCAGTGACTAGTTAGATGTATAAATATAGACGGATTAGGAAAATGATAACCAACTCTAAGGTGAGAGGTCAGTCATTGACACAACAACCAAAAGGAACTATAAATCATACGTGACCTTCTAAGGATAGGTTACTTATTCCCACACTGATAAATCTTGATAGCTCACTTCACATTGAACTTGGTACTGATAATATTGTTTAGAAAGACAATGAAAGCTCCGCGATTAAAGTTTCCAGCTCAGAGGAAGCAACAACACTAAGACATGGGTTTCCTACATAGTCTTACAAAGGGATATATGGACATAATGGGTGAGAAATCTGTGTGACTGGCTATTAAGAAGTGATTATTGTTCATGAGGTTCCAGATGAATGAAGACATTCAGAAAAGTTCTATACCAGAGATTTACAACAGTAATCAGAAGAACTGTCTATCCTACTTTCTTTTGTTGATGATTTTTAATTCAGTCGATCGTCAGCGTTCAAACGAAAGACAAATTACCTAGTTTTACTACTTCTAAGTGTACTTACTGCTTCAGCCGCTTTTATGAAGAAAGAACAGGATAAGAAGCTTGTCCTTGTTGAGAACCTAATTTGTGGTTGGGACTGGGATAAATGAAGTTCAGTTTTGTCGCACTTGGTCGATGATGGTCATTTGATAAACTGGCTCAAATTTTCCAAAATAAATTACATGGAGTGATCAAAAGTTTTGAATGGGATCTTTACCAACCTTTTACATATGGAAACTTGGACAAATAACCTTAGTCTTCGTGTTTGAAAACTTTTCGTACAATTATTACCTTCACCATGATTTGAGAAAACTCAAAAAAACTGAGTTAACTCCACTCCGTGATTTGTCAGGAATTCATTGATTTCAAAGTGGTATTCATTACAGATACAGATCCAACATAGAACCATTTGAAATCTGCGACAAGCGGACAGCTGTTTCATCTTAGTCTGCAACTGCTTAACATTGAAAATCAATACCCAGGGAGGAAAAAGCGTGGACCATGGAATTTGAGGTCATTGGCTGAGTGATGACACTCTCACCCTAATAAATGATGGTCCTAGATTTGACCGCTGACAAGGCTATTGATGCACGCGATTGAGGAGTCCAAAATTGAGATGAAACATCCGTCGAGTTTTCAGTTGTTCGTCGACTGATGCTAGTTTACCGAGAAGATCAACTCGAGAACAATACTGTTCGCTTATATGTCTAGTTACAAACAACAGGTGAAAATTTTCATTCTTGTATATCACACTGCTGCCTTACATATGAAGTATTTTGTCTACAGTATTTCAGAATATTTAATCGAGTTCCACATATGTACATGACATTAACTTTGGTGTTTTCCCTATCGACAACAAGTATTGAATTATATTCATTTTAGAGAAAAAAACATGCCTCACCACGATCTAACACAAGCATAAGTTATGTTCGTAGGCTCAGATACTCCACAGTCTGAACAAAGCTAGATGGAACAGATTTTCGAGATAAAATGTGTCATTTCATTTCATGGAACTTAACCAGCCTCATACAACCTATGACTACATATCTTATCCAGGATAAATGATCATTGATACATATTTAGACAGATGATTCAAATAAAAACGATTCAAAGCAAAGAAGTTGCTAAACAGTTGAAAAATTAAGTAAGCATATGAATGATCAGGAAACATCACATTAAATAGATGTAGTCAAAACCCACTAGACAGGAAAGAAGGATGGAAATATAACCCCCAGAAACAATGAATAACCAGAGTAAAGGAAGATGGATAACTGTATTTTTTCGTATACTGCGATCCGGTCTAAAATGTCTGGTTACAAGAACTTCAATAAAGCATAGTAAACTTGGAATTTTTTTACTTTATTTGTCATCTTGAAGACTTTGAATATCTATTTGATGTCCAGTTGTCATCTGGTCTATGACTGTTGCACTGTAACAACTTCGCTCCCTTTCAAACTAAAATTTCTTGAGAAATGATCATAAAGACAAGTAGGTTCCATTCTCCAAGTCCTTCCAATGTATTTGCTTCCATAAGTGTAAGTTAGATGGTAAGTACAGCTGGAGGTGACGTGAGAGCTGCATCTACCTATCTGAGATTGACGTAGTGAGCATATTGTGTTGTAAGGTGACACCAACCTAACAGAGTGGAAGCTTCTTTTAAGTGGGCCCTTTATCAGCCTATCTATTCTTTACGATATGTCACCTCCTTTATTGGCTAGATGAACAGAGTCCAATTTCTCCTTAACAGTTAGATGTTCAGGCTTTCCAGTGTATTTTCTTCTATACTTCAGGATAGACTTCTTGGTGTATGCATTCTCCTTAAAAACCTTCTCAGCAATAGATAATTACTCTCTCAGACTATCCTTTAAGTATAATTTTCTTACTATGTTGAACAGTGTTCTGACTAAAATTAGTTTATAACTAACAGGACAAAAACTATTATAGTGTTATTCCTTGCATTAAACCGTCGTTGACTGGACCAAATTAATCGGCCTCTATTGGCATATGGACTGCTGTGCCGATGCCTCGATATACCTGTGTTCTAGTTAAAGATGGATAGTAGCTAGCAGTGGAATCCAGAACGCGCATTTCGTCTTATTTGGGACTCGTCAACTGGGTGTACCTGCCTCCCAGTGAGTGATGTTGTTCCTAAGTCCGAATCCCGGTGGGAAAAATATCACTCACTGGGAGGTACGTACATCCAGCTGACGAGTACCAAATAGAACGAAATACACATCCTGGATCCCACCGTTAGCCACTGATGTGTTGATATATCTTTTCTATGTATATTCTGCCGATTGTACTGTCACCTCTGAGTAACACTCATATTTAAAGGGTTGAGTTTGTTTTCACTATCCTTCTACAGAGCAAAACTAATGTTAGAATGGGTTTGGTTTAAATGCATGATTCATATTTTTCACATTAATCATTCCTAAATCATTACCTGCTTCGAATACTTTCAGAAGTAGTTGATTAATGGGAAATAAGAGACTGATGTCTGACATCATTAACAATGTCATATGAGGATTCTCTAACCAATGGAACCTCCTCATAATAATTCATAAAACAAAACGTAGGAGTAAATAAAATTTTATTTTCAACAATTTCATTTACTAAAGTTGTACAATCCTATTTCTATTATTAAGCAACAAGGTCACAAAATTATTATAATGTTCATCAGTAGTATGAGAAAGTTGTTTCTGAAGACAGGAAGAATGTTAGTGTTTGGCTTTGTATAGATGATGTGACTGAAATCCTTTAAAATTGTAAGATGATACTCTATAATAAAGATTTCCTACATAACATCCTACTAGAAAGCGGATATCCACCTAGATTCACCATCTCCAACACGATAAAGGTCTCGAATACAACTTTTAACAACTGCCTCGAAGAAAACTTTGCATATGAATTTGGAATTCAAAAGGGATAATGTATCTGAAATTTTTGAATGTCGCCCCTTCAGTTATATGAGGAAATCATTTAAAGCAGCTAGCCCAAGAATCACATTGTCCATTAGAAAATACCACTTTTGACCACTTCAGTACCCATATATTAGTCTACTTGTTCCTATCTAGCAAAGTAAACTAATGGAATACAGCGTAAAGTCCATAAATGTCTTTTGAAGTATTTCCACCTTATTTATACAGAGGAGAGAGAAGAATTACCACCAACCGTATTCTTGAAAACCTCGTCATCGTCAGATATCTCTTGACTTCTAGTATCTTCTTCAAAATAATAAGCAAAGTTCCTTCCTGTGATTCCAAATGACTTCGACTACTTCGTGTATGCATAGCGAAATCATAATTAGTCCACACCCAACTTGATTCTTCTGTTCAAAAGCATTACGTTCACTTATTAGCCCTACCGTGATCGAAGTATTAATTCCCTCCTCTCTTTAGAAATGACTTTTTGATTCTACTCTGAACATTATTGTTTCTGTTACTGGGATCCTAACTGGGGTTCCTTCCATTGCTTTGAGCTTAGATGCTAATAATAAGCAACACAAATTGTCAGACCTTCGACGCAGGAATCGGTTTTGCAATAGAATTTGTTATTATTCGTTGATTATATTCATCTCGTTGTTGATGTACTTGTAATTCTCCGTTGTCTTACTGGACCGAGTTGTTCGACCCCTGCTGGTATATGGGCTCCCATGAGGATGCCCCGATATTGGGTGAATATTTATTACCGTAATATAATTGGTTGTAGCCAAGATGAGCGCTTGAAACGATGGGTACAAGGCTCGAGTCTCAGTGGGGACAGCACTCACTGGGATGCAGGTATATTCAACTGATGAATCCCAAACAGTAAGAAACGTGCATCTTGGGTTCTTCTTTTAGCCATAACCAAATAAACTACCTATTCGTCTATTATTTCAAATGTTTCATCCCACTAAGTTTCAAAATATACTTCTTGGTCTTTCAAATTTCTTTCACAATAGGCTGATCAAAAATTGTTGATTAAACATGTTCGAAGTAACAAGGCATTGGCGTTAGAACCAAACTTTACCGTTCGGTAAGTAATATTTCTGATTTCATATCTTATAAAACTTAAACTGCTAACTACTAGACCCCAATCGGAATGACCCACGAAACTCCTGAATTCCAGAACAAAATTACTGAAGCTTTCTAAAGTGTTACTGTATTTAAAAACTTTAAGAAAAACACAATGATAACAAACTACAACTGTGATGTTTCCAGGACGAAAAGTTGTTCTATCACTTACAGGGAAGAATCAGCAATCAAGATCCGATTAGCTCAGCCATAGGATCTCTGACTGTTGCTTTGGGTAAATTGGATTCGAATCTCTGATTCGACATAGACTACCTTGAGATTACAGATACGCCTTTTTGCAACGAACCAGGATACTTCGGCTTAGTTGGATTACTTTCATCACTTAACCAGTGCGGATATGAATTTAGTTGCAAAAAATCAAAATCAACGGGTGCAACCATCTGTAATAACATTATAGACTTTATTTAAGCCCGACTGGGCATTTAATCCACAGCCAGTTTATGCACATGGACACCTTCAACCATTCAGGTAGTATAAATAAACATGAAGTGAAATATTTTGAAAATTAAATCATTAAGATGCCTGAATTGAGTATACATGTCGACAATAATATTAAAATATCAAAACAAGCCGGTCCTAAAAATTAACGTAATTGGTTTCTAACTACTGATAGCTTTCTAGTAGTATATCTCTCTAGGACCAATCAAAAATATTTAAATGAAGTTGCAAAAATTCTACATCTTTATTACTTTATGAATCTTTTAGTCATAATTCACTTCAGTATGGTAATGGGAATCTTCCTCAATAAATCACACTTTTAAGAGATGTATAACTTTGTAAATGGTTTTATGGTTTTGGCGCGGATAAGCAGATTTTTAAAAACAGGCACTCGTATGGAAGATGTTAATTTAGAGAATAACTATCATTTGTTTCTAAACGTAATGGTTGAGTTTAATCTGCTTGCCAACTGAAATTCAGTTGTATGGAGGATACTTGAAGTCTTTTGTTTGCTGGCAGCTATAATGACCTCCAATACGTCAGTTCGTTGTTCTATCTTCATAATACTTAAAAGGTTATTATATTTCTGAATGAAAAATGATAATTTATACTCAAATTTACTTCGTATAACGCATTAACTTCGTAAACAGGCAGGTAATGGACACATTCATGTAACCTGTCAATTTTCTCTGCGATCTTGTAACCAACTGTTTCAGGCACCAAGATCACTGATCTATTATTTATATTCCCATACTTCTCACTTTTTTATCACTTCAGAAGTTCTGTTTGTGATACGACATTCTTCCGTCGACTTAAGTTCAGCTTAAAGCCCCTCATTGGTAAACAAACTGAATTGAAGACTACTGATTAGGAAATAATGAAACAAGAAAATTATTGTATTTTCTAACTCTTCTGAAGAATACTACTCCAAAGTGTATATTTTTCGAGAAGGAAAGGCGTCTTAATGCTTACATGTTTGGTGATAAATATTGATCTGATTGTTGCCCAACACACTATGTATATCAATTGGGATCAGCCACTTTCAATAATGTTCTCTTTGTTTAAAATTTTAGCACCCTATTTGGGAGGGAAACTTGTCTCAGTGTACGAACATACTACGATTCTCATAAACTGGAGCGTGATGTAAATGTTTGGATTCTGGCTTCAGCTAGACAACAAGGTTTGTCAAATGTGTCAAATGAGACAGCACCACACAAAATCCTTGAAAACACCTCTTTAGAAGGTGACTGTGTAGCTGAATGCAACACTTGTGATGAGAAACAAGTCAACTTTGAATAGTGAACTGATTACCGATGGTGTGATAAGCGAATCATAAACCCATCTTATAACTTTTAAACACCTAGTTTGACTACTTAGTAAAATACAAGTAGTTAAAGTTTATACGTAACGAAACAGACAGTATTTAAAACGCGTTTAAATTATGCATATGAATTCGAATTGCTCTGTAACTTCCATTTTCTAATTCGATAAATTGTTATTAATTTATGATGAGTATTTCAAATAAATTAAACTGAATTCTATGATATAGGAGTAAAACTTTGTGTACCGTGATTTCAGATAACATTTCTTTTATTTGATGTGTGATCAAGATTTGACCGATTAGTGTTGGAGATATTAAGCGCTGACTACCTTGGCTTGTTTGACATAGGACACACACCATTTTCTGTCTGACGTGTTGAACACGAATGTTTGATCTCAAACCGTGTCAAAGTAGTCATACAACTAACGACACCCGATTTTTATAGTCTTATTGTAGAAAACGAGACGATGAAAGGAGTGTTTATGATTGACACTTGTACAGTAGTCATCAAATGTAGTACACCCCCCAATAAGACAGTCGTTCGCATAATGTGCTTCATCTCTGGTTTCGCTTCTACCTTGATTTGCTCTTAAGACGCTAGCATTGCCTCTTGCAAATCTCTGGGCTAAATCTATACCCTATGATCTCTGCCGCCCTCTCAACATATGCTACTTATATCTACTACACTATCATATAGTATTCTTTATATCATTGGTAATAAAATTTTCCTCATGTCTGATGTGCGTTTAGTGTCATCCGTACTATATGTGTTCGCTGTTGGTTAGATGAACAAAGGTTCTTTAATCGATCTCTTCACCTAATTACTACTACTACTGTGTTATACGGTTGTGTCTCAAGGCATGTAATGCAATGGGTGAGTATTTTTCTAGATTATTGATCTAACTGGGGTCTGTCATTCTAAACTGGTTTATTTTCTTGTACTCTAATAATTTAAGTAACCCTAATCTACTGATCTGATCTATTTATTTGACCTCACGATCATTGCATAATGTTTAATAGATCAGATTGGTTCAGTAATTTGCTCAGGTCGACAAAATTAATTCTCTGAGTTCTTGAATCTGAATACCGTCTTAATTCCGGACTTGTTCAAAATCCCACTTGATGTTTCCGAGGTTCCTTTCTTATATGATAGTTTAATAGAAGTACTGTGTTGTTTCAGTTACTATTTTTGATAGTATTAGCGCTACATTTCTTAGATATGAATACGAATGTGTTAATAAACTATGCAGTGGTATTCTTTTTAAGGATTTTAATTTCCTACTAAGGTTTTTTCGATTCACTACTGGATGTCTAGCTCCCTTACTTAAATATTTAAGTAAACACACTTTCATTAACATTGAATGTGATAACTTTTTCATGTGTGTGTGTCGATGATTGTGTCTAAACCAGCATTTATTCTCCGTTCTGGTTTGTTATCTAACATGGGTTATCCTCTTTGTTCATTTTCTGAATTATAGACAAACTAAATCGCATCTACAAATGAATTTAGGCGCACAAAATTTCTGTTGATTTGTCACAAATTCAACTCAGTTAAGTTTGTATATACTGATGATATGTAGATGGCACATTCATTGTGTTAAAATTGCAAAAAATATTGAGCATTTAAACCAAGTTAAAGGTGCAACCAAGTTTGCTTAAAAGTTGAAAAATGAACAACAATAGTTTTTCTGAAGTGCATAGCAAAAAGAAGAAAGATATTACCGCAAGCACTACTTTAGAACGTAAGACAATTTTCACGTAAGGAATGTAGTTATTACATATGGTACACCTTGCACTAACTCAGTCATTTGCAAATGTCTTCGTTTACTCCTCCGTTCCTCTCTTGATTTGCTCTTGACCTGCTCTTCATACACTCTTATCAGCAGCATCCACTGTAATACGCTTGTGTTATCCCTTCGTTGTTCTTGACAGAAACCTTACCCATTGCCAGTAATTCCCTATGATTCCGTCACCCTCTCGATATATACTACTTATATCCGTTGTTATCAGCAACGCACACTACACTACTATTAACAAAAAACAACACAATCGAACAACTATCTAGTTTTCAGGTAATCTAAACAATTTAGAGCAAATTTATTGAAGCGTTCAATATGAAATAGAAAGAAAAGTAACGATAAAAGCAGTGCGCACTAAAGCATGAGTTTACATAACAATAGACTAACTGAATATTCAATCTCCGTGGTAACAAGATGCGTGAAGTATGCTGAACTAATCAAACTAGTTAATGATTTCTAGTATCTTCTGTTTTAAACACAACATCAGCCTTAATATTTGCTGAAGTTGGGTTAGGTAGACAGAAAGTCAAGTTAACCAGGTCAGAATGTGATATCAATCTCCGAGTTCTTAGACAGTTGGTATTAGCTACTCAAAGGAATTAAGATTTTCTGTTTACTATTCACAAGACAACTTAAACTGATGGTGAAGATACTGTTCAGAATCAATGACAAAGCTGCAGATAAACCCAGGTCTGGTATTCATCTGGGTTACAGTATGGGACATGTTGGATGTCCCAATTGAAATGACAGAAAGCAGTAAACTGAAATCTTCTACGTTTTCTCAACTTTAACCAACGTGTTTATGCATTCATGAGGAACCGGTATTCCCTACTTAATTCATACTTGCGTCACTCAGTGCTCAAATCAAAAATTTGCCCGCTTATCCATTCACGTCATGAATAACCTTCTATGGGACTAGATAATTTCAGCAAAATGACTACAAAATGGTCACTGAATCAACCATCAATCTCTTATAATCGGCATTCATAAGAGTCTGTCGATCAAAATTTCAATATAATTAAAATGAAACCGTCACTACCCTAAACTATGACATCCTTATATGAAGTATGTTAACTTTGTTCACTGTATAGTTTTGCATAACCTTCAAAAATGTGTGACGTGGAGTGGGAAGGATGATTATATTCGTAAACTCAGATATGTGATAGACAACGTTAAACAATATAGAAATTTTCAGCAACTTTCTAATAACTTTATGCCTACCATTTTCACTATTAAAATGGAGACAAGAATATTTGAATGATTCCATTCTTTTTATATATCAGTTGGTAATGATCACCTATCTCCTTCTTTTGACCGTTTCTTGTCTGTTGCCAAGTAGTATAGAAATGATGCACTTCTACACTAAGTTCTACACTGGTTTATCTTTCTGTATTTCAAATAACAACTGTAAAATTTTCACTATTGAACAGCTGTTCTTTAGATGGTCCTTAATTCATATTATTATGCATTTCTGGCAAATTCATAATGATGTAACTTGGTAACTAAGCCTTATTTCGGTTGCAGAATTCTATCTGCCCAAAATTTTGACAGGAAACTGCGAATTTCACGTCATAAAATGACTGAAAATTGAAAGTTCGTTTATTATAACTGGCTTTTGTATTTAATGGACTAATATGGTTACACTGAAGTATGAAGGTTTTGAGTTCTGTCACGCAAGATTTATGAATGAATACCGCAGCTAGTGAAAAACTAAGACTCACAAAATGTTTTTCAACATTTATTTTGCTACCCAAGTAAACTTCACAGTTTTTCAACTGGTAAACACAGAGCTAAAATCAAAGGTTGTGTATGATATTCGACACAGAAGTATTATGAATTAATTAGCCGTTTACAAATAGCTTGATTTCGAGGGATATAGGGTGAAGATTAAATTCTACAGAACGTTTTTCAAGCAACTGAAAGAAATGCTTTGTGATATTCAACTGTCGTTTTTCTAATCAACAAGCCGGTCGGTAATATTTGACAGTGCATTTTATGCATATTAGTCTAAACTACTTAATATTTATTCAGTAGCCAATTCAAATATTCAGCATTTTAGTTAATGTTTCATCGAATAAAATTGTCTACTAGTTGCCAACCTATTTTAGTCCAGACAGAATGGAAGGCAGCCAGGATGTTATGAATTGACAGCAGCAGTTTTCAAAGCGCTACACATGATTCATCTTTATTTTCTACGAAAGCACAGAGCTAAGTTCAACCAGTATATTTCATTCCAGATCTGATCAATGGTATAAGGTTGTAATCTTATCCATTTCAGGTGGAAGTGGTTGTGTAAGCAAGACTTCAGATATATTTTCCGAGGTGCCGAATTGAGCGCAGCAAACGACAAGTCGTATTTCAACTAATCAATAAGGTTGGAAGTAGAATGAGGTGAATAAAGATAAAATAACCTATTCTTTTAGCATTTACAAGTGCAAGAAAAGTAAACTTGGAGAAAATCTTTAAAACCTTACTCGACACTTCATGCGAAATATAAGGTGATATTTCCATTTTTATGGTAATGATAGATATCGGATAGTAATGGAATCCAAGTCTCGCGTTCGTCCTGTGTAAGACTCATCAGCTGGAAATACCTGCCTCTCAATAAACATTGTTGCTCCAACTGAGACTTGGAACCGAGGCCGATATTATCATTTTTATTATGCAAGATAAACTAGATGACTGTCTGATAATCAGTGGTGTACAACATGATTGAAAAAGTTACAAAATTCTCTGTTGATTTTAGTTACCTATTTAACAGGGTGTACATAATCAGCATGATACAACAATTAAGGCTCAAAATGAGTGAAAAATCTAAGAGTTAGATATGTTTATTCATAATAACTGAGTCAAATGGTTTAGTTAAATTGATCAACATCTAAAACGCATCTCATTTTGCAAACTGTTTTGAGAATGTGATCTTTACTTTTAATGGGTTGAAACTGACGAGTATGCTAAACTATTTATTGAACATTTTTACTCTGAAATTTATACTCTGGATCTAATTAAGGTGAAAAAGATTTGAATCATAACTTCAGTTTAACAATTCACCCTTTCATTGTCAATCAGGCAGTTTTTGACAACTCAATTCCGTTCCTTGATCTTAAAATTAATCCCAGTTTCACTAGGCATAATGTGTCCAAGTTTTGTTACTGTGATATATACATCCAGCAGTGAGC